GAGCCTCCCGGGAGGCTGGCCTTATAATCGGGGACCACAGATTAGTCATGAAGATTAAGGCTCAGGGAACTTCGTAACCCAAGAAACTCCAGTGCTGTCTCTTTTCTTCCTCCCCTCAGTGTTTATTTCTTCAAACATTTCATCTCTGTATGTTGCATCTCCACCCACTTGTTTATTGGCTTTCTGGGCCCCTTCCCTTGGTTGGATTCTCTGTCATTTTTCTACCATATTCCAGAGGATGTGTATGTTGGTGTCTTCCTGTGTTTATACATTTAATAACCCATTCAGAACGCTTCCTCTGCTTCAGGGTCTCTAGGCACACAAGCGAAGCAAACCGCCAGGAGAAAAGTGCGGCTGTGCTCTTACTGGAGGAGACGGCAGCCGGCGGGGAAAGCAGCGCAGCCAGAAGCAAGGCTACCAGTCCCATCAGGCACCAACCACCCAGCGCCCCATCAGACAGGTACACACACTGAAGGTGAGCGTGGCTGCCCTCAGGGAGTTTCATCTCCATGCCAGTGTTGCCAAATCACGGGCTTGGCACTGGTGACACTGAATCACTCGATGAAAAGGTTATTCTCTCTCCATTCCCCTTCCTTCCAGGCCAGTAACAGTTCCTAGCCCAACTTTAAGAGCAATTTGTAGTCACTGTGTATTTTATGATCACCAATGACACAGGCTTTCCCTATACCATGGTGATGAAAAGCATTGCTTTAAATTACTTGTTCTAGTACACAATGTAAATTTAAGGCTCCCAGCAGTGGAAAGGCCCATGTGAGCACAGAGATCTGAGTGGGGCTGGAGGAGCTTCGGGGATTGCTGGGCCATGTACTTCCATCACCTGTGCACATGAAACCTAAACACTTGTGTTCAAGCCGTGGCCTGAGAACCAAGAAAAACCAGCTGCCTGCTTTGTGAAGTTCCCCACAAGTAACATTTTCAAATCGAACTAGCTGCTTCTCTAACAGATTCAGAGGATCCTCTAATCAACTTTAAAAAATAACTTTAAAAAATAGTTCATACAGAAAGAACTGCTTTCAACGGTAGTGTCTCGATAATGGGTTTCAGCCCTGGGCAAGCTCACTCGTGATTCAGTGACTGAAAAATGACAATGGAACATTCTTAGCATGAAAGGGTTATACCCAACTTTATTCCCACGGTGGCAGGTCAGTCACTAGAATCCCGTCCACTCAGAGCGAGTCTGCAGGCAGCAAGCTGGGCTCTGCCTCCGGGCCTCTCCACCCCCACAGCCATCTCAGTCTCTGTCCTGTGTGCTGCCACCCCTCCAGCCTCTGCTCTCCTGCAGCTGTGCAGCCCAGAGCATGGGGCGGAGCTCTTTATATAGAGTCAATAACAACATATTGCCCACACACGTGGAGTGAGCAGGGTCAGGTGAGAATCCGGGCCACAGGAGCTTTCACTTTCTCTACAGGTGTACAAACAAAAGGCAAAAATTAAGGTAAAATGAATTCTCTTATCCAGCATTAAACTGCATTTCCTGCCTCAGGAGCCAGCTCCACTTCACCTCTGCCCTAGGCCCTGTCCTGGGACTGCCTCCTCCTGTCTGCTGGGCTTCCTGGTTGGTGAGCTTCCTAGGAGCCAGTCTGATCTGATGCACCATCCCACCTTGCCCGCCCCCCGCCCCCCCCCCCGGGGGCGTGTCAGCGTGGACTTGAATGATCTCAGCTACAAAACAGCTGGCGTAAATGGCAATCCCAGCTGTGATCCATTTAATGTAAATAGAAGCTCAGTAAATCCCATTTACCTGTTGAAGGGAGGTGTGTATATGCTTATCCTCTCTGCCCTAGGCTGTAGGACTCTGGTCTGAACAAGAGGCGGGGGCTCTCCTGCTGATTTGATAGATCGTAGGCTGGCCCTCTGGGTCCAGGCTCCCCTCTTGAGGCCCATGGAAGAGAAGAAAATAGGCATAAAGAGAGAGAGAAGAAAAAGGCAAAGAGAGAGAAGACACGGAGGGAGAGGTTGAGAGGGAGGGAGGGAAAGAGACAGAGAGACAATGTGTGTGTGTGTGTGTGTGTGTGAAATTGTGCCCCTTTAAAGTAAAAATCCTGGAAAGATCTGTAATTCATTAATGGGATTAAAATGAAGATTTCCAAAAGAGGTGACATTTAATTTATCTATCATCTTGAGTCTCTAATGAGGGTTCAGCTAGGCACAGTGGAATTTGAAAACCAATCTGGGAAGCAGGCTACTTAATTACTTTCTTAAAGGGGTATAAAGAAGGTTAATGGTGGCTGTCTCTGGGTGGCTGGCTTCTGGATTGTTCAACTTTTCCTTCTGTGTTTTCTATAATTTCTAAAATTGTTATTATGGTGATATGTATTATCTCCATTATCAGATGGACAATAAAGGTTACTAAATGAAATATCTTAAGCCCAATGATTGGCTACTTGGGTGAATTAGTTTGAGAATTAAATTGCCCCTCCAGGACCCTGACAGTCACAAAGCCCTGAATCCAGCCTTCCTCCTCTGCTTTGTGCCATCTGGTGGGTGGCTCCCATGGCAACAGGGCAAAGGTGAAAGAGATGTGGCAGGTACCTGTATGCTGTTCAAACCTACCTGCTTTTAGTGATCGGTAAGGGTGTGGCCAGGCTGAGCAGTGTACTTTCAGCAGCCTGGAAATTAACCTACCTCTACCAGCTGTGGCTATTCTCTACTTTGACAAAAAAAATGATTTTAAACTTAAGTGGTGACTGGGAAGGATAATAACCACTTCAATATAGTTAGTGTTGGCTGGAATGTTCTTGAAAACTGTTAAGCTGGAAAGAACTTGGTACCACAGAATTCAATTGTAAGCCTTTTGAGGCAGAGGACACACCTGTAGTTTCCTCTGTACCATATCCTGGTCTTTCCACCTCTCCCCCCAGCACTAATACATGATGTGAATCCTTTGAGGAAATCTCTTTTGGTTAATTTGTTATGCAGCAAAAGAAAACAAAAACATTGTCTCATTATCACTTCTCCTAACCTCTCTAGACCTCCCTCCAATCTTGTATTGTCAGTTACATACTTGAGGCAATGACTGACACAATTTTCTTTGTTAGTTCTGATCTTTTGCTATATTTATTTGTTTTGTTGATATATAATTTACATAGCATAAAATTGGCTGAAACATTTTTAAAATTGTGAAAAAAATATAACATTGATCACTTTCACCACTTTAAAGCATACAATTCAGAGGCATTAAGTACATTCATGATGTTGTACAAACATCAACAGTATCTAGTGCCAGAATTTTTCATCACCCTAATGGAAACCCCATAATCACAGCTGACACATTTTAAAAGGTAAAATTAATTTTTTGTCCCCCAAATCTGGGACAATCATGTGATAACAAAGAAAAACAAGTAAGTAAAACCCTTCTTAAAGGTAAACAAATTTGGAAAGAAATAATATTAATACTTCTAATAACAACCTATGAATCTGTTCACATTCTTGTACAGAATAAGAAAGTCTAATGAGATACATTTTATGATGGATAAAATAAAATCTCAAAAGTTTTACAAGAAATTAGTTTTTAAAACTCCTTTTAAAGCCATTGAGTGCAGAACACCTACATTGTACATGTGGTCAAGGAACTGGAATTGGGGACAGTTGTAGAGCACAGGGGAGCAAACAGGTGGCATGTGGCGATGGCGTCCAATCTTAGAGTAGGTAGTACCTGCAGCCATGGGATTGGAAGAGGGACATTGGGGCTCAGGTAGTTCACAGTTTCTGTCACAGGCTTGGGAGGGAGAAGTGACAGCACTGTGGCCAGCTGTTTGCTAACCTAGGAATGTGGTAAAGGTTGGTGATAGCTGTCATTAGTTCTAGCACTGGTTCCTTCCAATTCTCTTATTTTAATACAAGTTAGTAGTGACAGAAAATATTTCTACTGAAGATGGCTATATAAGGATATCCTATGATTTGGTCCTATGAAGAACAGAACTGAAGATTACTGGCAAAGGATTACCTTTGGTAGGCATATTTCACCCTTTTCCCCCCGGAGAGGACATTACAACTTTACTATGGAGTGTCCTACGACTGCGAGTATGCAGGCTCTGCTCCTCCCCGAGAGGGCAGCTTTAAAACACTGGAGTAGCATCTTTCATGGGGTAAGACTTTCTCATTTGCTGTTTTGTTCATTCATTCATTTATTTTAAAAAATGCATTGAGTGCATTCTATCTGTCAGGCACTGATCCAGGCATTAGTGACAAGCAGTGAATGAAACAGTGGAGCTAATGCAAGAAAGAGTACGGTTTTTGCATATATTTCTCTGAGTTTGACACTCTTTGGAGCTAATATGGACTGATCCATGTTAGTAGGATGTTTGTGGGACTGAGAAAGAGCTGGAGGGTCAACTGTGTGTCCTCTTTCCCCAATCCAGAACCTCAATACAAGCAGTAAAATGGAGAGAATAAGAAAAATGTGGGCTACCTTGCTTCACCAAGGCCAGTACCCCAGATGCTGGCCATTTCCTTTCAAGCTGCCCACTTCTACCATCTCAGGACAAAATTATTCTCTCCTGGAGTTTCTCCTCACTGCTAGGGAATAACTGTGCAACTCTTAATGTACGATGAGAAAAAGCTACAACCATGATCATAAACTCCCTGAAACTTAGAAAGAACCTCATCAAGCATATGACCAGACCCAGTATCAGGCACCCTGGCCCCTTTGTCCCGCATTAGCATGTTCACGAGCCAGACTTGACCACGTTCTTCGGGCAGGGCTCCAGCTTTGGTGTCAGGGGCAAAAGGAAGGCAGAGCTCAGCAGTGTTCTAAGAACCAGTGGTGTTCAGAGTGAGAGGCAAAGCAGCCAGCCTTCTCAGGCACAGGATGCCTGTGTCAAAACGGAGGTTAGGAAAAGAACAACAGTGGAATTGGGGAAACCAGGAAGGCTACACAAGTATGAGCAATGGCTGGAAAAAGAGTTGGGGATAAAAACATACTTCTTTACTGTAAACACCAAAACCAAGGAGAAGGCATATTGCCATGCTGCTCTCCATAATGAAATGGGCCAGATGCTCCCTGGTGGGAAGAGTGATGGCAGAGTGAGGGCGGGCTGAGCTAAGGGGATGATGCATGTGTTCTCTCACAGACGGGAGAACCTCTGGCCAACAGAACCATTAAAAATGCTCTGCTCCCTATATTTGTAACAAGAAATATGAGTCACTCCAATAAAACTGGGCTATTGGCAGAAGGAAATCTAACATCTGACTTGTGAGGCAAAAAGGGCCAGCTGCTTCAGCCTCCAGGACTCAGTGGGAAGTTCCTACTTCAAGTTCCCAGCTGTCCCAGAGCTCAGGAAAAAGGGGTGAACTCAGTCACCCTCTCCTCTAGACACATGCCCCAGCCAACAGCAGGAACATTCCAGATTTTATCAGCTTCTTAAATGCCCTAAGGGTTGAAATTGAACACCTCAGTGTGGTTTAGGCGTAAGAAAAGGCCTGGGTGAACCCAGACTGGGAGAACGAATGAGACAAGAGCCACACGAATAAAGACCTGGAGTCCAACTTGCAACAGGCGATCTGGCTGGCCCAGGTTGCCTGAGATCCTACACCCAAGGGCCCCACGCCCCTGTGCTCTCGGGGTCGCAGCGGGGATCCTGTGCGGGGAAGTACACTGGCACTGAGCGCTTGTGGTAGAACTGCAGGCGGGAAAGGAGCTGCTTGACGACATGGGGATAGTCTCTTGACAGGTCCCGTCTTTCTTCTGGATCCTTATCAATATCAAAGAGCCAGAGGGTCTTGGTTGGTGGGTCCGAGGAGGGTATCTCAGAAACATTGTAATGAGATGGTGGAGGGAACCAGTAGCCGCAGCCTGGCAAAGGAATACAACAATTTACTGGGGAGAAACATTGTAGGCAGGTGCTCATTTTGAGGAAGGAGTTGGGGGAACAAGACTGACCTGGGTTACGGGCATTGGACATGTGAAAAAGAAGCGGCCTTTGATGCTGTGTCCAGATCTATCTCACTGCTTCACAACCAGGGGCACCCAAGAATGTGTGTGTGTGCATGTGTGTGTGCGTGTGTGTGATTTTTAGTTGTCGCAGTGACTTAAGGAGGCGCTACTGGCCGTTTAGTGGTCATGAGCCAAGGATGCTAAAATGTCTCGCAACACATGGGACTGTCCAAACAATGAAGAATCATCTTGCCGCAAATGTCAAGAATGCCCTCATCATAAACACTGCTTCCCTGCATCACAGTCTTGACCGTCATACAACATATTTACAAAGTATTTAAAAGATGTCACTTTTATAAAATGTGCTCATGGAAAGCAATTTCTTCCCCTAGTGAGCTACACAATTGGTTGAGGATGTAGCTGTTAGAGTCTCTTTGCCAGCTGGATGTGCTGTGCTTTAGCCACACATCAGGAATCACTGTTTTCCATGAAGTGTTACAGTGGCATTTCTTCCTTTCATCTCCACCACCCCTCCCCCCATGCCCCCAACCTGCCTACAATTCCCCCATTTTTGGGGGGGTCAAGACCAGTAGATCATACCACTCCTCCTAATTCAGCAGCCCCAGAGATAAGTTTGGCAAAAGGCAGTTGTTACTTTGGTAAAGTTTTCTTTGATGTTCTGGTGGGAAATGCTACACATTCTACCTGGGTATCCCGTGAGCAGTTTCCAGTTCCTGTGCCTAATTGCAGCATGGACAGATGTGTTGAACATTGAATATTCGGGATAAGAAGAATCCTTTGCTGGAGCTATGCTTTTCCCAGGACCTAGAAAGAAACAGTTTGGAAGAAATAGATCACTGTTAGTGGGATGTGTTGTTATAACCAACATTTAATATACTTCTTGCAGAACAGTAGCTTTTATTCAATGCTGGAGTGTAAATGTGTATCCAGCCACAGAAATGAATCTTCTACTAAATATAAACAGAAAGCTATAGTTACATTACATGTCAGTCTTAAACCACCATAAATATAGAGGAAATCCCAATGAGATTAGAACACTAATTCATCCTTAAAATCACTATGTTCTGCCAATGAACAGCTGGCCATATGCAGAACAGTGTTCTGTTACAGCAGGAGGAGTTGTTTTTACTGGGTTTTTGTTTTGTTTGTTTTGCTGCCAAACGATTGAATTAAGTACATTTCTGTGTATACTTATACCTATGTAGATAAAATAATACATTATAAAATGCACATTTTAATGGAGTGTATCTCAAGCTATGAGAGTTCAAGCATGCCATGATAAATAGTACATGTATTTTTTTTTTACCACACTTATGAAATCTAAGAGTAACTGATCAATGCTCACTTAACTATCAGACAGGATAATTATGGGTGTAAGAATGGATTTGGTATGCAAATTATTGGCTGTTATCATGGATTACATTGATTTATCATCTTGATAAATTCATTATATTAATTGATCATCACGCTTTTGATGGGAATAATTAAAAATTATTCTTACCCCCTCTGCCCTCTTGAGTTTGGAACCAACTGAAAGGTAGAACCCAAACAGATGGAACTAAAAATATTGCTTTTCTTACTGATAGTTGACTGGACAGAACACAGCTTCAGATCTGTGGCAGAGAAGCCTTGCTAGTAACTGACCCCTAACTTAAAAGGCTAGACCACCCATCACTGATACTGCAGGACACCCACGGGGCACCCTCAGAGAGCACAGCTAAGAGCAGAGCGGAGTGCTTCCAGCAGACCGAGGACAGGCTGGCCCCCACATTAGACAAAAGGGTCTGAACTGAGCACACTCAGTTCCTTCTTTTGGATACCTCTTTCTCTGACCTGCTTATGGGGAGGATCCATGAGGGCAAGGCAAGGCGGTCCCTCACCTCACTGCTTCCTGTTCAAAAGCCTCACCTAGGGCCTAACTGTATAATGTTCAGTCTGTTTTAAGTCCATATGTATTTGAGCACTTTTCAAATATGTTCACAGCCATCACCTTGGGGGCTGTGAACATACTGGCACTAAAGGCTGCCGAGCGACCAGCCCGATGAGCAAGAGCTAGGGTGCGATGTGTCTGGGAAAGGCGCTCTCCACCGCCAAGGTCAGTGCTGTGGTCCCCACCTGCTGAAGGACTTTGAGAGCGTCCCTAGCCTGCCAGAGCCAGACGAGTGTGCTGCTCAGGGTGTAAAGCAGGAGGCACTGCCAGGAGTAGAAAGGCAGGGTCTAGTCCTTTGTCAGTATTTGGACATGACGCTGGAGAGCCATACGGAAGATCGAGCCAATAACATTGTAGTTTCCATCCTCAGTCTTAACAATCACACACCGACAAATCGTTAGCCTCAAAGAGAAAATCTGTTTGACTTCTTGTTTCTCCGTTGCTTGTGTTATTTTGGCTCTGATACAAACGGAGGCTTCTAGTGATCAAGGGCAGTGAGGATGGCTATCATAGGAAATGCATTCTTAATACACAGGCCATGGTAGAACTGGGAGGCCTCGTGGCTTACTCCTCACAAGTTTATATAAAGGCCATTATTTTGATATCAAGAATGTTAAATACAACAAGCACACTTTGTGAACATAAACAAAAAAATGAAATTTAGCTATCTCAGCTATATTTATATATATTTTTTTCCTTAAAACAAACAGGAACAAACCTAAACAATAAATATGTTTAAAACTAAATGGTGAAACATGCTGTTGTCTCAACTTTTTTTCATGTTGAGTAATTAAACAAAGACAAAATTACAAAGAAAAATATAACTAACACCCTCTGAGCTGTCACCCAGAATGAACAGATGTTAACATTTTGTCATATTTGCTTTTTTTTTTAAATAAAGGAAACAGGACAATGAAGTGGCAGTCTTTTGTCCCCATCATCAATCCCAGTCCCTTTATCCACTCCCCAGAGGCACCTATCATGACTTCAGTGTACAGTGGATCCTTCAGTCTTTTTAAAATAAGTAGCACATCTCTCTGTCAAGGAATAATATATCATCCTGTTGTATACTTTTAAAATGTATGTGTGTTTATGATGTACGCATTCTACAATTTGCTTTTTCATCCATGACAGTATTGTTAGAGCTCTGTAATCTTATATATGTATTTACATATTCCTTTTAACTATTTAATATTTCACTATATCAAAAACCATATTTTACTTATCCATTCCCATGTTGATAGGCATGTAGTTACTTTAATTTTTTTCTAATATAAACTCTCCTGCACTGAACACTGTGTGCACATCTCCTTGTGCACATGTGCAAGAGTTTTTCTGGGATATGTGTCTGGAGGTAGAACTCTCCAGTTGCAAGGTACACACATTTCCAACTTTATAACATTTACCTGTTGGCCCTCCTACTGCTAATGTCCCCATTTCTCCATATCTATTGCCTGATATTTTCAGAATTAAAACTTTCACCTATCTAAAAGTTTTAGAGACAATATTTTTCTTTTTTTAAAAAAATTGTTCAGTTAGTGAGAATTCTTTCATGTCAATCCAGGGTTGCTTTAAAAAACGTTTTAAAATAACATCCAAAGAGAAAAGTGTACAAGTCATGCTTGAAAAGTGGACTCTTCTCTATATACACTAGTCCACTCAAGAAACAGAGCATTGCTAGGATTTCAGAAGCCCATGCAGATAGCCTCCAATTATTATCCACCCCAAGGTCACTGCTATCCTAACTTCAAACAGTTGAGATTATTTTTGTGTGCTTTTAAACTTCGTATGAATGGAAACCATGCAGCACATCCTCTTTTATTTCTGGCTCCATCTGATCAACATAATGTTTGTGAGTTCCACCCTTGGCCTTGAGGTTTGGCCTGTTCCTGCACTTCATTCATTTTCATTCCTGGATGGTTTTCCATCCTATGAAAATTCCACCACCTCTCAAATTTAGACTCAGAACCCACCAGGAATTGATTTCTGTGCATGAAGTGAGGTAGGAATCAAGATTGATTTTTCAAATATGGCTATCATCTGACCAGGCACAATTTATTGAAAAGACTCTTCTTTTCTATTCATCTAAAGTGATACCTTTATCAAACATCTGATTTCCATATGTGGTTAGTCTGTCTCTAGAGCAGCTTGTCCAGTGGAACTTTCTGCAGTGGTGGAAATGTTCTATATCTGGCTATCCAATGCAGTAGCCACTAGCCACATGTGGCTATTGAGCATATGAAATGTGGCTAGCACAACTGAGGAACTGAATTTTAATTAATTTAATTTTAATTAATTTAGACTTAAATTGCCATATGTAGCCAGTAGCTACTGCATTTGACAGCCCAGCTTTAGAGTTTCTATTTTGTCCCCCTGATCTATCCATCTATCATTGTGCTAATACCACACTGTCTTAATTACTGTAGATTTATAATAAGCTCTTCCATGTGGTAAAGTAAGTCTCCAACTTTGTTGTTCTTCCAGATTGATTTTATCTTTTTTGGGCTTTTACATTCAGTATAAATTTTAGGAGCTGACTACCGTGTTTTACAAACTAGCTGCTGGAATACTTACTAGGATATTATTGACCAAGGATCAATTAGGGGGTATTTGTGTCTTAAAATGTTGAGACAATTCATGAATATGGTGGATCCCCAAATTTTCTCTTAATAATGTTTTATGATATTCTGTGCATTGATGCCGGGGTTCTTGTTTGCAGAGCCGAACAATGAGCTTCACAAACAGTCAAGGTAGGAGAGCAAGGTACAGGCTTTTATTTAGAGATAAAGTGAAAGGACAGAGCTCCCGGCTCACACCAGGAGGGGACAAGAGAATCCGTAGTGGTGCGTTGTCTAGGGGGTTTTATAGGCAGCTGAGGATTCTTTGAGAACATGAAAAAACTTAGGGGTGTGGTCTTAAGTGGTCCCTGAATATTTAGAATTAACTTAACACAAGTAACTTCCTCTGATAATTTTTCTTTGAGATACCAGCATCTTGGTCTGGGAGCATATGAAACAAGGCCACCTGCTCAGCCCCCAAGGTGGGCCGAGGTATTGTTTGCTAAAGAGTAAGTTAAGAATTTCTAACTTCTTAACTTCTTGGGTATTAAAATGCAATCTTATCTTTAAGTGGAATCCTTCCTGCCTTTTACTGTGCTGTTAATGCCTGGGCTTACCTGCTAAATTAGTTGCCCAGTTTGCAAAATCACTTCATCAGATCTGAAGGAGGAAAGACAGCAGGTAGGCCTGGGCCTTTTAGTATGCTAAAGAGAATCTTACACATGATTATAAATGGTTAGCATAATAAAACATGTGCTACTCTTCTTTATCTGGGGAACATTAACTGATTTCACTGAAGAATGATTCTAGAGCTCAATGTTTAACATAGAGTTTTAGCAGGGGGGTTTCCTTGCATGTAGTTACATTGCTCTGACTGCAAATATCCTGCCCTGCCCCCTCCGGAGGCTGTCACCCTACTCTGACTACATTTATGGTCCCTGTCTCACAATGGTCTTACACATCTTTCTTAGGTTTACTCCTAGTTGGTTGATTTTTTTGGATATGATTATAAATGATATTTAAAAATATATTTCATATTCTGACTATTGTTAGTGTATAAAAATACAGTTGGCTTTTTTACATATTGACCTTATTATATCCAGTGACATTGCTAAATTCACTAGTTAATTCCAATCCTTTGTAATCTTTGGATTTTCTATGCATTCTATCATGTCACCTATATATAATGACATTTGTTTCTCCCTGTATTATCTTTATATCTTTTAGTTTCTTTTCTTTACCTTATGACACTGGATAAAATCTTCAGTATAATTTTGAATAAAATTAGTGGATAGTGAGAATTTCTATCTCACTCC